TGCCATGCCATGCCATGCCATGCCATGCCATGCCATGCCATGCCATGCCATGCCATGCCATGCCATGCCATGCCATGCCATGCCATGCCATACCATGCATACCATGCCATGCCATACCATACCATGCATACCATGCCATGCCATGCCATACCATACCATGCATACCATGCCATGCCATGCCATGCCATGCCGTACCATACCATACCATCCTACAAAAATCCATCATATGATACCATAGAACACAACATATTACAACTAAGCAAGGTATATACCGTGCATTATCACATTATGTACTATACTACACGAGATACTTCATGTCATAAATATCATATATTACACCGCAAATAATCTTCCATATATGAGTCCAGTAGGTTGTAAACTTTTTACATGAATTTTATATCAATTGGTTTATCTCAGTATTTTATTTTAATCCTCTTCAAAGGTAACGGCACCTACCTTGTGAGCTACACACCAGAATTGAATGGCAAGCATGAAATATCCGTTACAATCCAAGACAAACCCATCAAAGACAGCCCCTGCAATGTTCTCGTTATAAACTGCCGAGGATATAACGAAGTTGGTTCAACGCTGATGGAATTTGGTCAATACTGATGGTTGCAAAAAAAAAGAGTTCAAGTTGCCGTTCGGTGTAGCTTGCGACCAGTCTGGCCATATCTATGTCGCCGATTGTTGCAACCATCGCGTTCAAGTGTTTGGCACGAAAGGAGAGTTTGTGCATTTCTTTGGCGCCCATGGTAAAAGAAAAGGTACGGTGTCTTGTAATTTGTAATTTTTATTATTTGTAAAACGGTGACCACCAGTTTTCTCCTGTTAAAGCTCTGGGCCAATATAAAAGAATGGTCATTACTGTATCTTTAGGAAAAACAGTTTAGAACTGATAGAACTATCTATTATAAATAGAGTCAGTTTAGGTTAGGTTTCCTCCTGTAGTAGCACTAGATCAATAAGTGCATGCAGCGATGGCTCTTACTGGGCTTCCTGGAGCTATAGGGAGAACATTTTAGATCTGTTGAAGCTATTTACTATAAATAAAGTTAATTTACTAGTTTAGAATTAGTTTAGTTTAGGTTTCCTCCTGTAGTAACACTAGATTAGTAAGTGATATGTCTCTTACTCGCCGCTGAACGTCTATATAAGGAGAACAGTTCAGAACTGTTGGAGCTATCCAGTAGAAATAAAGTTAGTTTAGTTTAGTATAGTTTAAGTTTCCTCCTGTAGTAACACTAAATTAGTAATTAAGTGAGTTTAGTTTAGTTTAGGTTTTCTTCTGTAGTAATACTAGATTAGTAAGTTCACAGGGAAACCAGTTCAGAATTTCGAACTGATAGAGCTATCCAGTGTAAGTAAATGTTGGTTCAGTGTGGTGGGATTTTATATCAACTAATACAACTATATAATATTATTTTCACAGGTGAGTTCAATTGTCCCACGGATGTGGCCGTGGACACCGCTGACGGTGTGACTGTGTGCGACAATGTCAACAATCGTGTCAGATCCTCACGCATGAGGGTGCATTTCTGGGCAAATTTGGCCGCGAGGGGGTTGGGAACGGTCAGTTCAAGAGCTCCTGGAGGGTGGCTGTGAACGACGCCAGACAGATCTCGGTTGCCGACATGGAGAATCATCGAATACAAATTTTCAGTCCGGAGGGGAAATTCGTACTAAAATTTGGCTCGTTTGGTGAGAAAAACGGTCAGTTTAATTCACCATGTTATGTTTTGGTCGACAAAGAAAGTGAAAGTATTATCGTGGCCGACTCAAAAATCATCGCTTGCAGTTCTTTGATAAAAATGGTCGCTTCAGAAGAAAGATGGGCTCTCAAGGCGCACGTGATCATGAGCTGCAGAACAGGTAGGCAATTTGTCGGCGCTGACCAAAAATAGCGGCTCATTTCTTCTTGAGTTTCCATTTTCACGTTGAAGAGCAAAAATATAGACTTTCAGAGAATATTTTAGCTGTTTACTATCAAATATGTTTGTGAAACAGTTGCTAATCTCACTGAGGAAGGCCAACGGTTTCTGAAAAGCTAAAGTACGTCGAAATCAGCTTTGGAATAGACTATATTTTCACCGGGGAAGCATGAACAAAATGGATATTTACATCAACACTAAATTTTGCTCGTGCCTACAGAGCTAGTTGGCTTAAAACAGGTGTTAAGAAGTAAGTGAAAATGTGAACTTTGTGAATTATACTTTCATTAAAATGTTTCAGAAGGTCTGCTAATGTCAAACTACACGTGTGACAGAGCTCTCAGTATACTCATATTTCAATGTTTATGTTGAAATGACCCATCTTCTTTGAGGTATAGCTTAAAATTTAGGGTATGCTCATCACTTGGAACTAGCTTTAAATCAAAGTTTTATCTATAGTCTTTATATTATAATTAAAATCATCCATGGGGAAAATGTGCCAAAGGGTTGAAATTGCCCTTGTAAATGTACACTATTTTTGACATGCTTGGGTTAGTATTTTGAAAAGGTGTTCTTGAAGGAAAATATGTCTTGAACAATACTGGTTGAGCCTTAAATTATAACTAGTGTTATGTAAATCACAGAAAATTGAAAAAAAATCTGGTCCATACACAATATTTTGGACCCTGTGAGGTCCCGAATGGGGCTTATTTCAATGTTGAATCTGTTTACTTGGAAAAACTTAGAAAATTGAATAAGTCAATAATTTGACTATGCTCATCACCCAAAACCAGGTTTTTCTAATTGCTTTTTCACCTGTGTTTGTGGCAATGCCAGTTATGCGACCACGAAAAATGCGCACGGCACTTTTTTTGGACACTGAAGATGGTAACATTTGATGTTGTCATATATTGCCATCCTCTTATCGTAGCATAACTTAACTTATTTTAGTGAATTTGTTAAAGAGTTGTGTTCACTATAGGTAATAACCATAATTGACATTTAAAGTTAAGTTTAAAACTGGCCTCAAAACATGGTCCTCAAATAAGTTCTTGTTCTTGTTTGCTTTTCTGTACTTTGCAACACTTTCCCATGTTGTTTATATTTGTCCTCATATGTTGACGAACCTCTGAGGCCTTACATCCATACTTTGTTGATAGCTGTAAAAAGACAAATACATTTATTTTATGTATACCATTCCAATGTGTTTTGTTAGCTCATTAAATATGCCCAAATGCACCCAATTTATTATTTTACTCTAAGTGGAGAGTCAGCATAAACACAGTAAAATAACAAATTAGTACTAAAAGTAGGGCACATTGCTTCTAAATATGCCACACAGCAGCTTTTGCAGTTAATTATTAACCTTTCAATGACCAACATTCATTTTGATTAGTAAAATCATCTGATAAATATCAAAGTACTGGAAGTGGGGATTGAGTGTTAAGCCTAGTTTCCATTTGGTCGTTAGTTGTCGCTGACAGTGTCAACAAAAAACTCTGCAATCATTAAGACTGATTTGCATATCACACAAACAGACTATTATTATATTAGACTATTTCACATCTACCGCTTGTCGTGCCAGCGACAACTAACGACCAAATGGAAACTAGGCTTTAGGGTGAATTACATCTAAATGTGCTAACGCCAAATAATGCAAAATAGTCTGGTATTAACAGGGTAAAATATTGAGCTTTGAAATAGAGCACATTAGTGTGAATTTGTGAATTGGGTCTGAGTTTACACAAAACACAGGGAGACAGGAAGGTAACCTATCAAAGTTGTCCACTCTCTTTCAAGTAAAATGATCTGGTGTTAGACAAGGTAAAATAAAAAAGTCCTGAAAGTTGAGCACATTCATCTTAACAAGTTAGCATGAAATGTAAGCTAGCAGAGAGCCTGGTTAATTTGAATACCATCACATAGTTATGTTTAATTAATAGAAAAACATGGATAATTTTCCTGGCATTACACTAAAGCATGTCTATAAAGGCTAACAGATTTTAATACATTGACTGGTGCAAGACCTCTCAAAATGAAAATTGTTTAATTTAAACAAAACATATGAATAAATCCTGCTGCTGGTTTGAGCAAGTAGTTAAATTTTCTATAGGCATGCGGCATTAAATATGGCTGACAATTTACAATTAATCTGGCATATACAGTTGGCACTTGGGATATACAAATATATTAATAAACATGGATAAGTCTGATTCAAATATAAAACTTTTATAGTAGCATTTGTTGAAGTATAAACGCTATAAATATATTTATATCAGCATTCTAATTCCGTTTATATTGTCTCGGCAAATTCAAATTTTATCGAACCACATGCTCGAATTTCACAAAAGAAGATTGGAGGTATTTCCTTTATAATTTGCTTTATTATAAATAAAATATAAACTTATTCTTACCTGAACATTATGCAAACATCCCTGATGTATTACTAGTGAAAACCCAGTTGAATCCCATCAAAAATAGTTCTATTTTGCACATAAACCATTGACAAACACTAAAGGTACGTTTACACGCTGCGATTTGTCGGGCCGATTTTGGTAAATAATCTATGCCCCTTCCTCGACATTTAGCGATTTAAACGTTCAATTGAAGCTGTCCGCTCTCTCGTCTGTTTATATTATAGTTTTCTGCGTGCGAAAAGTTTTCAACAACTTTACAACGGAAGAAAAATCGTTGAATCGTGAGAAAAATCTGTGAATTGTTACAGATTTTTCTCCCGATTTTGTGAATCGCAAGGTGCTGACGCGAGTACTCACGACAGTTTATTTATATACAGCGAGCAAAATCGGCCGGAAAATCGCAGCGTGTAAACGTACCTTAACTTGAAAAAATATCGGAGGTGTGATGATCTATCCCTTGATTCTTTGCGCGCGTGGCAAGAAAACTAGACACCAGTCTGTCAGTCGCGCACATTGCGGTAATTATTCATTTAATCTTAGAAATAAATAGTCACAGTATTAAATTCTCTATTAATAAATGTCTATGAGTAAAATACGATATAGGAATAGTGTAGTTGTATAAGAAATTAAAATTCCTATAAGAATTCTTATAGGATATGATAATGGTAAAACAATTCCTATAAGAAATAGAAATTCCTGTAGGAAGGAGTTATTTCGTAAATTATATTTATCTGTATAATTTTTTATATAAGTAAAGATCTTATACCCATGCATGTATCAGGCCATAGTGGTATAGGCTATGAATTTTTCCCACCATTTTCCAATCCTATAAGAATTCCTAAATTTCAAATCCTATAGGAATTTTTTCACCATTTTCAATTCCTATAGGAATTCCTATAGGAATTTTCAATGCCAATAGGAATTCCTATAGGAAATTTCAATTCCTATAGGAATTCCTATAGGAATTTTTCAATGCTTATAGGAATTCCTATAGGAAATTTCAATTCCTATAGGAATTCCTATAGGAATTTTTTTTACCATTTTCAATTCCTATAGGAATTCCTATAGGAATTTTCAATTCATATAGGAATTCCTATAGGAATTTTCAATTCCTCTAGGAATTCCTATAGGAATTTTGATTTCCTATAGGAATTCCTATAGGAAATTTTCGTAAGGGTGCAATTGCGCTAGGCTAACAAGCCTATATACAAGAATTTGGCAAGCACGGAAATTAATGCAGTAGTGAGTATATCTGAATGCATGAGCTTGACTAAAGTACGGCAAAACGTAATTTTATAGCCTCTAACCATTTTCGTGTGCAAGGGTGTAGGAAAATGTTTCTTCATTACCATCAAGAAAAATATGTTCTGATTTACACAAACTGTTCAGTGGTAGACACCAGACATAATCACGTGAATGAAATACAGATGTGGCTCCCTATAGACCGTATAGAATATTGTCATGTTTATAAAGGAAACTTTAATTTAGCCTGACATGAACCATATGCGAGGCCAGGCAAATGTAATCGTATAGTTTCCCCTCTTCACTTTGTCACAAAGCTCAGATTACTGTTCGCCAGGGCTGCGACAACGATCTCAATGGGCCCAGGGCTAAGTCTGACATAGGCTCGGTTAAAATCTGTTTACACTAACACAGTGAAAGTCATGACAAGTGTTGGTGCAACGTCAATGCTCGCTCAGTGTAGAGATTATGACTATTGACTGTATTAAATAGTATAACAGTTAGTTAGAATCAGCCTTAAATGCTACTGTTATATTGATTTTATTGAGCTAACTCTTATTATTAATAATATTTTTTTGCATATTGTTTTCCGTAACCTTTACCTCGTTCAAGGTACAACAATCTTTAAAATAAGTATTATACAGTGCGGTAATGCTATAACAATTTTTTACCCTTCTGCAGAAAATGCGGAATATGTGCCCGAACCGGTCGGTTGGAGTGTTGCTATTAGTTCTTACACAGCCAGGTGGGTAATCGAAATAGAATAACGTAATTTTATTTGATAACTTGCGATCAATTAATTTCTCCAAAACCCAAAACCATGCGTGCATAACTTCTGGCAACATCACAGTAACCAATATCCGTTGCCGGTTTCACTGACCTTCTCGGGTAAAAGTAGTTTTATTAGCCTATATGCATAATGCATTAATTAATTTATTCCTCGTAAAATTATTAGAACATTCTTAGGGACCGGTCATTATTTATGGTGGGGGGTGGCACCGAAGAGAAATGTTTTTCGTAGCAAAAATTTTGCTGACCCAACCATTAAAAAGTAAAAAAAAATTATTACCCAACCTCAAATTTCAATTTAAAAATAAATACCCACCCCTGGCCAAAAAATTTACAAAAGGTACCATTCAGTTATCACATATGTCCTTTACCACTTCTGTGACATAAGTTTGATAACGGATTGTGAAATTTTCTGCAGTCTGAAGTTTCATGTTGTTTGCACATGTAGCTACTTTCTTTGCATGGAGATCCCATCGGAAATTGATCAAGATAATGACTCTGATTGATATATACTTTTCGTTGTTTCTTCACACATTTAGTAAATCTTAGTATAACACCAAGTTCATCAATTGCTGCTATTTTGCTAGCAAATCCATGTATAATAAACCCGGGTGTTTTGCACTCAAAAGTGATGCAACCTGGATAGTGGAATAAGTTGATTACTGTAGGCACAATTTTTGGCTACTTAATAGTCAAAGGTCATGCATAAATAAGAACAGTCTTTAACATTACCGCCTTACGGAGACTTTATATTTAATAATTGTGCTACTCTAGGATCTAGAAGACCCATAGGTCCCATACTCGACCAGCAACATAATCAAGTTAGTTATGTTAATTCATTAATTATATATAAGATCAATGTTAAAGGCAAGGTGGGCTATAAGCTATAATCATTTGTATGGCTTATAGAAGGCTAATTGCTGCGAATAAATTGAATAATGAATGTATGCTATGTACTATGTAGCACAATATCTGACTCGTCCCCAGTCGCTTACCTAACGCGCGCTGAATTACCCAACGCGCGCTGATTGAGGGGTATTTCCATGATCCTTTGCGTTAGAAGCAGTGTTAGGGACTGTGGAAGAGTCAGGCACAATATTAAATAGTTGCATGATGACGTCAAAGAAACTAGTCAGACTACATTTGCAAGTTTTGCAACTCTCATCGCTTAAATTCCCCATACCTGAATACAAAATAAACAGTAAACAACGATTACCTTTTACATACCATATATAAAACGGAGTTTTCATCCTTTCTAGAAACTCACTTCCTGAACTTTTGAGCGCAAATGTAATGTATTAAAAATGTATATCATATTCACAGCGGTTAATACCATTAATATATCGCGGGCGCCAATACAAAACAAAACACGAGAATTTTAAAATGTTTTGATTTGCAAATAAATAAATAATATTTGATGTCATAAAAATTTTTAAATTTAACTCAACACAAACTGGTAAGTTCATGACATGTATAATTTTCTTATATGTTGTTATATTGCAACTCTGTACCCTACTCCTATGAAAATTGTTTGTAATTGCATATGATGTGAACATGTGGTCGTGTATTAATATAGTTGTGTCATGAATTTAATAATACCCCAATGGCTTCGAAATAGACAATGGATGGAAAAAGTCATGAATATTGAACTTATTTACCCTTTAAACACTTGATCGTCATGCGCATACAGTGTATTGTTTGTTTCCGGAACCCCCTCAAGCAGACAAGCTTCAACTTTTTTTGTTAAATTGTATATTTTGCTTCATACACTGCATGTGTGTGTGTTTGTGGGAACACTCATGTTTGGATGCTTGGCATAGGTTAATGGTAATTTCATTGGAGTCATCAGGGATATAATTGTATATTCCTGAAATTACCTCTAAACACCTAAAACAGCATTCCCTAAAATTTTAATTGTTTTCTTACATTGCCCTATATCGCTCAAACTCGCATTGCTTAAATTGCAGATTTTGCTTAAATCACCTAAAATTGCTTAAACTCGCATTATCTCGTTATCGCCCCAGAGTAGGGCCTACTGTTGCCATTGCTTTTTAGTCCCCAATACTTCAGTGAGTCATGCTTTGGAATTGACAATAATTTTTTATTACCCAACCCTTGAGTTGTTTTGTTTTTCATTTACCCAACCTTTTACTTACTCAAAATTTAGTTTACCCAACCCTTTTCTCTTCGGTGCCACCCCCCACCATAAATAATGACCGGTGCCTTATGTCCTTATAGACATTTGGCGTATAATATTTTAATATTTTCTTAACTTGTAAATATAACCGTAGGCCTAATTCATCCTTTTGACCGCAATGTTTATATGAAATAAACCATGTATCCTGGGTTTGACAGAAATTATGGGAAGTTTTTTACACTTTGTGTAATTGTCGGGCAATTTTGTTTTCGTTCCGATATTATATGGGAAGTTTTTGGCGAGATTATATTGATCACAAGCTATTGAATTAGGCTATTCAGAGTACTGACCAGTCAAAAATAACCAGCAACACTCCAACTAATGGGTCAAAATAGCCAGAAGGACAAGGTGTTATTATTTTGACACTAGCTGTTAATATTCTCTAATCTGGTTATATAGCGTACTAGTTATAATCGCTCGTTCCATCTTGGCAGTTCATTTCACGGCAGCTAGGTTCGAACTTTCTTGGCAAAATTGTCGTTGAACGTTTTCGTTTCATATTTTCTGTCTTGTGCCGAAAGAATAATCGTACATTGCAGTTTTAAAACAGCAAGTTCATTTACTCTTTATTGCCTGATACCGTAAAATTTTTCTCTACCTGCATGGCGTTTTCCGTATAACACAAAGCTTCAGCTCGCTAATATTAACAAATTTTGGCTTAGCCTACACTAATGCAAGGCTACAGTAATGCAAGCTTTGTGGCAAAGCCAAGAGACGAAACCACGCCGAAGACATTAAAAGTTTCCATTGTTAACATGACAATAGTCTATGTAATCAAAGTTTTGTCGTGCTTATGCAGATATACAGTAGGCCTGTATTTTCCTTTTTATATAGGCTATAGGGCGTGACTCTCACGATTGATCAAAACCAAAATTTGCATTGCGAAAATCATGATATCAATAAAATATGTTTAAAATACATTAAAATACAAAGAAACAGCTTAGGCTATTCCCAAACGTTGTCAAGCTACTCTAGTTCGAATGTACGAAAACTTTGAATTGTTTTGGCCTTCGACATGTTTGTCCAGACACTTCTAAGTAGAACCACTTTATAAAACCTATCTTGTATAATTTTCTATATATAGATGTACAGCATTTCTAGAATGAATTATACTGTACATGCATGCAACAGGTGCGGCAAATTTCCGGTTCGTAAACGCCGGGGTCACCAGAGTAACAAAAAGTGTCATCACTTTTAGTGTGCGTCACATCCGGTGAATATTACCCGCGAGTCCCAACTGCAACACACGAACGCAACAGACACAAACAACAAGACGTCAGCACGAACTAGAGTTGGGCACTTGGATGATACTAGGATGATATCGTGATTGTCGTCTAGCTAGGAAATTATCGCGATATTTGATAACATTTCGATGAATGCAATGGTATGGCGTTGATTCTCATAAGTTAAAAAACTAATTAAGGGGTAATGGATAAACCCTCTGAATCTGACGAGGAGATCCGAGCGCAGACAACTCACAAAAACTCTCATTGTGAGCATTATTGATAAAGCTCTGGATATAAATAATTACAATCCATACTCAGTTTTGACGCTATAAGAGATATATTCGAATGTATGTCATGCCTTGTACCAAATGATTCATTGGACGAAACACTTTACCCCATGAGGAACCAAATTTCCTTCAAGCAGCATACAGTATCCCAAGTAAGTCAGCCATGCAAGATATGGTTTATTGTTCAACGCTTCAATGCTGCACGGTACCCTTATACATTTATTGCTCCTCCATACTGCGGTAAGCCAACAACAGAGGACGGTGGGAAGTACTACGTACAAGGTACCAAAAAACATTGGAAAACAAATGATCGAGCGCTTATTAGAAAATAAAGTGCCACTAGCTGGAAGGAACGTATCATTCGATCGCCTATATCAGCATGAGCTCCACCTTTGAATTTACTATATGAGTAAATTCTTAAACACGTCCGAATTTATCATTATGATAAATTCGCGGTACATTTTGAGTTTATCATAATGATAAATTCGCGGCATCTAACCCCTAACACTAACCCTTACCCCAACCCTAACCACTAACCCTTAACCCTAATCCATACCCTAACCATAATCCTAACTGACTATAACTCTATCTTTTTTAACTTTTTTGAAAATCTAACTTTTTAAACTTTTTTTTTTCTTTTTTAAAACTTTTTTAATTTAAATTTTTTTTTTTTGAAAATCTTGGTACAACCAAAGACGTCGAAAACAGCATGTAACAAGTTGGCATAGTAAGGGTCCAAGAATTGAGCCCTGCCGCAGGGACTTTTTTAAAATACAGGCTGGTGGCAAATGTCCCCCGTCCTCCACCCTTGTGCCCCCCTCGAAATCACATTTTGCCCCCCCCCCTCCCACCAGGGAAAGTCCCTTTTTCGTTGCATGCCATATATGGCATGCAAGTATCATATAGCTTAAACTGAGAGTCTTCCCACAATGCATTGCGTCTCTTTATTATTCACAATTACGATTTTCAACGAACGTTTGGCGAAACGTTGTTGAAATACATTGCGATTTTGGCTTCGTATATCTCGTTTTTCGATGGTAGGCTTTTATATTTGTATTATTTAAGAACTTAATTAAACTATTTTTGACTTATTTGGTACAGGAATTGCTTTTTAGTTGTGCTAATTCCGTATTGTAATTATGCTTGTTCCGGCTCAGTGGACACGCCAATAAAATGACCTTGATATAATGCAGAAGCAAATTCACTATTTTTTTAGGAAAATAAAAACAAAACACGTCATCGAATTCGGGAAGATTTATTCTTTCTACTGTTACTTTAAAACATGAGTTTGCTCCACTAAACCGACGAGTAATCGCGGTTTGAAAATGGGGGTACTTTTGCTATATTCTATCGCCGATGGCGGGAATAGACCGCCTGATAATAATCATGGCGCGAAGGAAATTATTGTACTATAGTCTATAAACACTATTTTCCATTATTATTTTGAAACATACGCATATATGTTCGTACATATTTCCCCCCGGGAAACCTAATAATAAAAGACTCAGAATTTCTCGTTTTAAAAATTCAACATCAAGCCGAACTTTGTTTCAGAGTCCAAAGCCAAGGTGTAAAAGTACAAATGTTTTTACAAACATATTAAAAATACAGCACGATTACACAAAAACATTGTATATTTCTAATGAGACAATAAAACTTATTATCATAGTGACAGTAACATTGTATTTTAATGCTGTTCATAGGCATACGAGGCTGGGGGTTACAACCCCTCCAGTCAATGTTTAGTTGGGCAGAATTCTGCTTCAAATATTGGGCAATTGTTTTAAGATTGACTTTAAACAGTATTTCTGCAAGCCTATATAGGAGATGTATTCCTTCTATTTTATACCTCTTGTTCATCTATAAATAAACTCATGACAATGTTGGTAATTTCTATCCACCCATACGCCAACATTATTTTTCAATGCTGGGCATTCCAGAAAACCTATAGTACCCAAATTTCCTGGAGAAGCATGCACACAATCCTGGTAAAAATCCATGAGTTTCTTTGTTGTTGTCTAATTGTGCTGGCACTAACATTGCCCCTCTCACTTTTGCTGTTTGTTTTGTAGTTTCTTATCAGAAAGATTAAACGACTTCTCCAAAGAAATTCCCAGTTAAACTTCATAAATGGACATTTGAGGAAGATAAAGCATTCATTGAATTCATATCTGTTGCAGAAAATCATGCAAATCATTACGATTGAAGAGGTTTACCAATTATGTAATACCTCTAGATTGTTTTAATACATCATTAAAAAAGCATCACCTTTCATATACTCTATCATATAGCATCCATGTGTACTGGTGAAATGAATGTGTGCAATATTTTAAAATTGTGTGCATAAAATTTTATTTTTAAAAACATTTTAATTATCTTTAAGTACAGCAATATTGTGTTAATATTTTTTTCGATTTTAAAATAAATAAATTTTATCAACATCAATTATGTAGTGTGTGATCTTTTTATTAATTTGTGATGAGCAAGGGAAGACTATACACTGAAAATCATGAAAACCATACATACCATAAACCTCTGAATATAAGCCCCCTCCCCATGTATAAGCCCCCCCCCCCCTTGTGTAAGCCCATCAAAAATTGCTTACAAAAGAATATAAGCCCAGTGCTTTTAGGTGGAGGTTTACAGTAGATTGTCAAAAAACTGCAGAACTGATAAGATGGTGTCCATGGGATACAATACTTATGGTATAGGGAAGTGACAAAAGCACATGCAGTACAGGAAAACTGGGGTAGGGCCAAAACTGTACCATTAGAAGCTCCCCAGCTCTATCCTTACAAATAAAAGAAATATCAGTATTACACCAGACACCAATAAACAATTTTTCAGCTTCTGCTAAACATTTTCTTTCAATGTTTTTTAACCCATTGAGTATTTGAGTGTCAGCACTCTCCTCCTGATGGGTAAATAGTCTAGTGTTAGACAGTAAAATAATCTGGCGTTAGGCAGAGTAAAATAATAGACAACTGGTTGATCATTTGAGCATAGATAACTGGTTGATCAGTATAAATCCTTGCAATGCATCACACAGTAGTCAATACATTTATATATAGTGTTGCGATAGTGTTGAATTTCCTCCATTTCATTCTTTACAACAATGCTACCACTGGGTGCTTCTTCCATCATTCGGTGTGTATGAATGTCTGTCAGGGCAAACAGGGTTTATTGGTAAATTAAAACAGTTATACAATCAGTTGGCTGATGTAATTCTATTGGTGGAAGTACACTATCCAGCTCATCATCTTGACTATCTGGGTCACATGGTGGGATTGCTTGGGATGTTGGTGATGTTGAAATGTCAAACTCCCACAACATAACATTGTTATATTCTTTGTTTATACCTCCTTCCCGTAGATCATTAGGGTCGAAGAACTACATGATATGAAATAAAAATACGTTTAATACTGCTGTATTTATACAACAACAACATAGGAGCATTTTTATATTTCTATTTTTATATAAAAATCATCTCACCTTAAAAACACAACTAGAGTGAATTTGTACCAGTGGAGGACTACCGCAATCAGCGAACATTTCATCAATTTTTATCCCGTTAACTACTGCTGGACAAAGGACTATTCTTCGAACTATCTGTATTGAAAACTATAAACATGAACCTCACGTCCGAGCTCACGTCCTCACGACATTCAAGTTCATCACACGGTAATTCTTCCGGAATCAAGATTAAAGGCTGTTTTGACACACAGTGAACACACAGAAGCTCGTGTCCACCCAAAAAACGAAGCTTTCTTTCCATGCATAGTGCAAAAATCCACCATTTTACAATTTTTTTTCGATAAATCTTTTCCGAATCTTATAAAACCTCGAGGTGTAAACACAGCGAAAGCCGACCGAACAATGACGGCGCAGAGCGAGAAATCGATAATATGTAAAAAACCGCGCCTGACCGCGTTGCATGCCGGTATAGTCCTCACTCCTCCTCTGGGCATAGTACAAAACATGGACTGGACTGGACTGGACAGTTGGACTGGACTGGACTGTTGGACTGGACTGTTGGACTGGACTGATTTTTACATTTTCTCTATTCTTGACTTGCACGTCACCCGCCATGTCAGATGGCATGGCACAAAAGAATATTTTATCACAGAATAGATATACCATGTCATGTTTATTTTGTGATTTTATCGATCGGAACATTGTCTGGTGTGTACCAGGAGGAGATTGGTTGCAAGTCAAGAATATAACGTTTTGCACCTGAATTACTTTTGATTTTCGGAAATTGAAATATTTTACCTTCGCCGATGACCTCACTTTATAACTGGAGTGAAATTTCAGTAAGAAACCCCAGTAAGTAGAAGAGAATACAATACCAGACATAAACTACTTATCTGTCTTTGCTATGGGTAGCCTGCTCGCATACGTATTAAATTTCGATATTTCAGTCAGGGGCGGCGCTAACCCTCTTCGAGTGGGGGTGTGTGAGCGATCTTTTGCCGACTGTTGTTTGGTAATTTTGCCGAGTCATTAGCCTATAGTGATGGTCCTGAAGTGTGTGTGTGTGTGTGTGTGTGGGGGGGGTCCCAATCCCATTTTCCACCTGAAATTTTGGCAAAATCCCAGTCCCAGTTGGATTTTTATTAGAAATCCCAGTCCGAGTTATTGAAATCCCAGTCAATAAAAAAACATTTATTTATCGGTAGAATAAACAGTTTTAAGACCTTTTAAGCCACCGTGTGTGCAAGTGGCGGACACTTTATGAAATATTGGGGGGGGGGGCCTCGTGCCCAAGGCACGGAAAATTTTTAAATTTGAATCCCGGAAATGGCATGTGCATCATTCTGACACACGCATAATCAGAAAACCCAAAATTCCAGGCGCCAGAGTATGCCTGTTCGCAGGTAATGCTGTGAATAATATAGTTAACAACAAAAATCATGACTAAAGACACCAAAAACGGATCAAAATTGGGAATCGACTCACATTCCTTCAATCCCATTCCCATTTTTGAGGATTTCATTTCCCAGTGGCCAAATCCCAGTCCCAGCAACCCAAATCCCATTTTCCCAGTCTAAAAATAGATCAATCCCAGTTCCCATTTTACCCCTTCAGGGCCATCTATAGTAAATGTGCATGTTTAAATGCGCTTTATTACCCTCTATTAAGTCGGTTTTCCACTAGCGGATTTTTCTGCTCGAAGCGACCTTTTTCCTTTGTCAGCATCCATTTTGCAGCCCTCGAAAAGTCAAACCGTCAAAATTGAGGTCGGCAAAAGAGGGCCTAAGTCGGCACATAAGTCTGACCTAAGTCGGCACATCTCGGCATTTCTTAAAATCTGTTCACGTCTTGAAGCACTATTAATCACGCATTTACGAATCATTGAAATCGGAATATAACTGGAACGTTACCTCCAGCCGGAAAATTCGAAAGTTGGAGCCAAATTTTAACTCCAGACGCGCGAAATTTGATCTTCAAACATCTAACGTATATACACAATACCCGTCAGTTTTTAAACCTTACACCGTAGTGTGTCCAGTTAATCGAATTCGCTGACATTTTAAAAGCTATCAGCATAAAAATTCTTACTTTGGTTGAATTAAGGTGGGCAAAAATTTGCATTTAGCCCGGCATTGCCGAATGCCGACCTCGTTTTCGAGGACTGATTTTGCCACGTCTTGCTGACGTAATAAGTGATACCGACAAAGGAAAAAGGCCGCTTCGTGCGAGAAAATTCGCTGATGGAAAACCGACTTTATTGCCTCTTTTATAGAACAGTATAATAAGCAACAACAACAACAACAACAACAACAACAACAACAACAACAACAACAACAACAACGACAACAACAACAACAACAACCAAACAAATTTAATTACCTAATTATGATTTCAATAATATTATGTTTTTGGACTAGCTGCCAGAAGTGAAGATACTGTATTCGAAAAAATTTGCATTGCTGCATGTGGTTTCTTTGATGCATGCTATTCGTGATATTCGGTTTGAATTCAATTATTCAGGAGGTCAATTTTGTTTTTTTCAGTGGTTATCTTT